GACTTCCCAAAAGAAGGAGATACTCAATTCGTCTGTATATTTTTTTTAAATAGTTAATCATCTGTATTGCATTAACGTAATGTATTTTAATATACACTGAAGATTAAAAATATTTATGTTTCAATTTTCATAAAATGTTATCTTTTAATTCAATTAACTTGTTTTTTTTTTTATAAATTCGTAACTCAAATAAAGAAAATCTAGTTATTTTGACAACAATGTTGTTATTGGCTTTGCAACATCGGAAGTATACGAGTAGCCGTTATCAGCTGCTTGATAACATTTGGCATATTTTGCTTGCTATGTCATTGTAAATAATGTATGATTTACTACGTAATTAGATAGCTTGCGTGTCAACAGCTGCTATGACCTCCGTATCATACGGTTAATTAAAATTATTTATAACTCGCTAGTAACGGTTAAATTTTCAAGGTTACATGCAATTACTTAGCTAATTTACTACTAAGCTGGCAATAAGCTATACTACTGAAAGTAAATGCTCCTGGATTCTACTAATAAACCCTTAATTATGATTAAGTCATGATTATTTATTTATCCCTTACTAATGTGTACGCGTAAATACTTTTACATCACATGTACCATATCGTCGCATATCAAAAGAACTCCACAGTTATATTTAACATACATGCAAGCTATTCTAAACCGGTATGGTCACGCGCATTCGGGTCAAATCATTCGCGTGATTGGATATTAAAATGCAAGCGAATAAGAAACGTTAGCGATGTCAGCTAAGCTCGGAGCAACACGGAAGTGGGTGGTGAAAGTGGTGAAAGCGGCAACGGGCAACATTTACCTAATCGCATAGTTACGTCAACGATGCCGATGTGAAAGTCAATGTTAGGCGGATGCCGCGGAATGACACGTCTTATACCATTAGTGGCGAAGCTTGGCAAATTCGAAATACTTCAAGGTCCCCACGGGGGCATAAGGTAGTAGGGGTGGTAAAATGTGCGAGGACGGGTCAGCCGACACCTAGGTGAAGGATAGAAGTATCACTTACTGTTACTGCACTATTGATTGTCTTCCCCGAGGCTTTCTATATTTTCTAAGTAACCGTAATACAGTGCTTGAAAGTTAATTTAATTTACTGTTATCGGTTTGTGCAATCGATCACTTTTTTGCTACATTTAAACACTAAATTTAGTAATGACTAATTAGTCTTGTACGCGTATGATAAAAACATTTTAATAAATTCCGGTGTCAAATTAATCGCTGTAATCTAGAAGTTAGATAATGTATCCATATTGAGCGGTATTAAAACATTTAAAACGGTAAAAAAGTTCAGTCATTGCGATGGTCCTTTCGATCTCTATTTAAAAGAAGTGAAGACTATTTGAAGATATAGCATCTGAGTTAGCTTCTTGTAATCTGTAGTCAGAATTGTGATTTGGATGTCGAGGGAAAGTGAAAAGGACTTTTATCATAAGTTCGGTGATAGTATATCTAAGTGGAGCGGGGTTCACATTCGGTGCAACACCTTATCTATGAGAGATAAGCATGTTTGTTTATATTCCGTGCGTGATTGCGAATAGTGTCAACGGTCTAATTATATCCATAGCTAGGATTGATTGGACAATACAACATACGATCAAAATTTTCGATGATATATACCCAGCCGATGCTCATGGTTGTTCTTACAATATAGCAGTATGCTCTACTTTAACTTGATAAGCTTAAGTAGAGCATTAATACTGCTTGCCAGGTTTTAAACTTTGTGATACAAATTTCAATTCCGCGTCTTAAGTGTTTATTTTGTCTCTTTTCTATTACTTTGATTTAACGATAGTTAGAGAACTATCTTATCAAGTTCTTAAAAATTATGAAATAGTTAATGATTCTGTTCAAGATAAAGTAAAATATGATTCGTGTGTCACAACTCTGTCCTTCGGTCTATTCGTTTAGCTAATTTTAAAAAATAGTAATAAAAATTGTAAACACAAGTCGATGACATCCTTGGCCTAAATTTCTAATAGATAATGGCTATCAAGTGGAACACTTTCAACGTGTATAACCGGGTCGGAATATTAGGGCAATATAATGTTCAGGTTGGCACCTTGTGACTGCTTTATGTACTTAAAATTTGAAAGTTAAGAATATTCACTATTTAGTGCCTAGCGTGTATGAATAACGTAATAAAATCTTTCGTAACATTACTGAAACGTTTATATAATACATAAACTTTCAAACATGCTGTTCTAGTTTCTAATACTGCTAAGACATAAAAAATAGTTTAATTTAAATTTTCTCCCGGTATATGGCAACATCGAGCACTAATAAATTTCGATTAAAAGGGCATTCAGTTTTTTAACAATATACATTTTATAGCACCCTTATAGCCTTGTACAAGATATCCATCGGAACATTAGTGTTGAGTAGCAATAGCAATTGGATATAAACGCGATCTCAATAGAGGTAATTCGAGGCTGTGTCGGCTTCCTCATGGCGACGTCAGCGCAGCGCGGGTAGGAAACGCGCGCCTTGACCCACTTGACGTGCAGCGCGCCTCTCTACTCGATACTAGCACGCGCAACACGCTATTATTCGAATAAACTGGTACATCAACTTGCCAGATCTATTCCATAATATAAATCGATATAAAATTCGGTTCGACATGTAAAGATCGAATCGTTTTTAGAAGGTTTTAAAAAAAGATGTAAAAGATTTGCAGACTCCGTATAGCTTATTTTCTGTCGAATTATACGTACGTACCGATAACAAGTAAAGTGTTCAAATGCTTTCGGACTTATTTCTATTTTTTTGTAATATTTAAATCACATAGCTATAATCATAAAAGCCGAAGGTAAGTAAGTAGTTAACGTTAACAATGTGCCAATTGAACAAACCCGGCCCACTTCGATTGTTCCGAGCACAAAACACGAGCACACATGGTAGCCGCACGTGACAATCGACCATCAAACGCTTGTAAAATGTCACTACAATACAAATTATTAAAAAAAGGACTAACAGCGATGTATAAATGTATCTTTGCTCGTAATCATATAAAATGTTCAGTGCCAAACTCGTCTAACTATTTAACTGTCACAAGAAATCATCATTTTGTCGTTAATAATGTTAAACATATTTTTATACCAAAAGTCCGGCCTTTAGCAATAATACATTTATTTTTTTCTATGTTAAAATTAATACTTTCACGAGATTGTTTCGATTGTTTCTTCTGTTACTAAACAAACTGCAAATAGAAAAGTTGACATAGTTTCTTTTAACGGTATTATAAAAAAAAACGAGTTTAACCTAACGAGTTTAATTAACAAAAGCCATGAACATTAAGAAACGGCGCTTAATGGGTTACAAGTAAAACCAAAGTAAAAACAACAAAGAACTAAACAGCACAATAAATAATTTTTGCAAACAACTTTATTTGTCGAAAAAGTAATCCGTTCATTATCATTACTTACGAAGATGAATTTTAAAACACAATCAAACCCGTAATTTAACAAATATAAAGAAACAAAACAATATAAAACACAACTCAATATAAAAAAACTTTTTTCACCAGCTAGAGACTGGCTGGTATTAATTTTTCATCGTTTAATTTGTATAGAGTCAAAACAAAAAGTCACTCTCTGCTTGTTAGTCTTGGGCTTAATCGGACATCTGCAAGTGGGCACCGTACTAGTACAATTGGAAAACGTACTAGTACACACTTTTAGTACGCTTAGTACTTCAGATTTGTGAGAAAACAATAATATGAATAGAATATAACAATGGTTATATTATAGATTACTTCACATCATATTTTTAGCAGGGTCAATCATATGTTATTAGCGGATATAAATTTAAGTTATAAATGATTTTATCCACTTTTGATTCTTATTACCGAAGGTGGATACTTCAATCTAGCAAATATACAATCAAATCAAACAACGAAGAAGCGAACATCGATATCGTGTAGTGTACTAAAAGTGCCAAATGTCCGATTAACAGAAGCCGTTGGATAACGTTACTTTTAGTACAGTGCTGAGTAACATTACTTTTTAGTACATTGTATGTATACTACACAAGACTACTGTTTGTCCTAATCTAACATGCCGCATGCGCAATCGTATCAGAGGGAGTTTATAATGAAATGTCAACGACATCGAATACAAAACATCACTATAACGAACACATGAGAAGCATGGGGCTAACATCTGTAACGCGTTTCACCACATGCTTGTCATAAACATTAATTAAAAAATAGAAAAACAGCCGACAGGCCGCGGCAAGTCCCTTTTTGGAAAATAAAAAAGGTAACTTAACAAAATCTCGAAACCACAAAGAGCCTGTCCCACCACTGGCTGATACAGGCTCAGATAGCTTAAAAATTACGTCACTGTTAGATAAGGTAACAAATTCCGATACTTCCATTTACACGTTGGATTGTTATCAGACAATTTAAAATTTGGTGGTACAGGCACTAAATAATCTAATTATATATTATAGTAACAACCATAAAAAACTGAGATTCGAATCTAATATAAAAGAAATAAAACAATTGAAAACCGAGCATTTTATTAAACGCAATTTGGATTATAATTTATCGAACTCATATACGATGTCTCGGCAGCCAATTTAAGATGGCGTTCATTTATTAACGATTTCAAGTTTTCATTGGACAATAACCTTGCTCAAGAATTTACAATGTGTCGTGATATGTATAAATAAATACATAGATAAGCGTTATAAAGGCCAATGTTGCAATATCGTCTTTAATTCCGATGTTATTGGCAACTTTTCAACGTTTTATAATCTAGTTTTGTTTAAACATAATGCAAATTTTTATTTATTGATTCTTTGTATTTAAAATCAATTAAATATCAAAACAATTAATTTTATTCACGAAATTTAACAAATTGTCATTTAAATTCGCTGTTGATTTGTTTAAAATTAAATCTGTTAATTTAAACAACGATGCTAACTATTTATAGTATACCAGTTTACTGAAACATGAAGAAAATACATAAAAAAGAATTACTTACAGTTGCCATGGGAATGTTTTAATCCAGTAAAGTTTACAATCCAATGAGGACACTGGTCACTTGTTAACTGAGCATAACAATAAGAAAGTATTTTGCGCAGCAAACACTTCACTTTTCTTCAGAAAAATTTGTACACTTAATTCAATCCGTGAAGGGCACACACACGATACTTCACAAAATTCCACTTGACATACGCTTCAAAAGTATTATTACGATTACATAAAACTACACACACCGTATCTGGGCTCACACCCAGTTCCAAGTAGGTACCTGTAACAAGACAAAGCGGTAATAAATTTTACGATATTTTACATGAAATATTTACTAACAAAATCAAAATATAACTTTTTCTTTCACAAGGAAGGAACACAACATATGACGCGTACTCACTTGACTAGAATTAAATTTAAAGTGAGCACAAAATGAACAGAGACGTAAAGAAATTCTTTGTCACGGCGCGACGCGTACAAACGAATCGACGACCACACGATGACTGGCTGGCGCAATGGAGGTGGAGGGAGCACGGAGGGAGAGGGGGAGCAGACGGAGGAGATACGAGGGGGGAGACCGTCTGGTCGACTGGTTGGTCGACCTATTGGCTCGGCACTCACACAGTGATACGATCGGTAAAGTTTCTAGGTTGATTTGTTTGACGCCCACAGACCCGTTTATGCTGAAATGAATAAAGAAGTTTGAAGCGATCTTTAACACAATTTGCTTGTTTGGTTTTATAGATTTTTAAGCAGTCGAGACGAGTTATCTGATTGTACGTTTTATATTAGGAATGGAGGTGAGGTGAGGTGTCAGTCGACTATACGACGAGCAGACGCAACCTTCAGGAGTTCTCATGGCCACGCGCTCGAGCGTAAAGGTCATCTTACTCGGTTGCTACTTCAAATAACAATGCTTGCTTAATCAGCACAATATTATCACTGCATAGTTTAAACAGGGTCCCCGTGCGCTTGCACGGACGGATATGAGGTTAACACACACAGGCGGGCCGTGCCGTAACTATGGAACAGGTTTTAAAAAACTTTCGCGGGATGTATTTCGAGCAAGGTTCGTACGTAACTTGTGTTAACTGAACTAGCTGTTAAATAAAGAAGTAAATTTCGAAACATGGCAGATTACACGTGCGATAAGGCGTGTTATCCGAGAGCAAGTGAAGGAAACGCCACACAATGAGATAACCGCTGCTGATAAACGTAACGCGTAAGTAAATACGAAGGGACTGATTAAGAATGATAATTAGACGAGAATCATAATGGTTATGATAAAATACTATGTATAGTTAGAGCTTTCAAAAGAACGTTTATTGCATGTAATGAACCAACTAGCTAATTACATCGTAGTCAAATAACTCGATTAGAGTTTGGGAAGGCAGCCCTCTTTTATTTAATTTTAACCATAATTAATTTAAAACAAAAATTATTTACTATATTACAACATGTTCGTCGTATGTTTTCACTCAACATAATCGTAATTATCATCAGGTAGAGCTGTAAATTAAAAGAACTGTTAAGTTCTGAAGTCTCAAGTAGGTACATGGAATCAAACGGAGTAATGCATCTGTAGTTCCTCTGGTGTTGCGGATGTCCATGGGCGTCGTTGACCACCTTTGTGTTCCCGCCGCTCGTTTGCCCCTTCTCTTATAAAGAAAAAAAAAAAATGACACCACACCGAGGTGACAACGATGATCTGATCTTCCAACTATGCGTGGGCTCCATTGTTAATGCCACTGATCATTTCTTTCGACACGTCACGTCTATTATTCATAATTAATAATTATCTTAGAATTGTTTTGATAAGCAAAGCGGGTGACTTTGGGTACCACTAAAAGATCTATTCCTACCTCACTAATTAGAATCTAACTGATTGATATAAACACAACAAAGAGTAATTCGTTACGCCCCTTATTAGTAGGACTTTAACTTAAAAAATGTAACAGACTTGCGTTTACTCGTGACTTCGCGCAGAATTTAAAAACAAAAACTCTGTTAGTGACAATGTAGGTGTGTATAATGGTGAAAGAATTGTTCCAGTAGTTATAGGATTATTTGGTACATACAAAAATACAAATCTTTCTTATTTCTAATATTAGTGTAGTGTGTTATTTAACATTTTGGTATCATTTTCGTTTTGGCATTTGCCAATACGAAAAATAATCAATCAATTTCAACAGATTTCTCGTCATTATCGTGTAATCTGATATTCGACTTGTAGTCACATCCCTAATTACGATGCAGTGACTGTTGTTATTATTCACATTGTTGTGTTTCTTGTGAATGTTGACTGGCCTAATCCTTATCGTGTTTGGGAACACATTGGAATATAAAACGTTTCCTGTCACGTTCCAATCCAGTTGTAATGACAGACATGACACAGATGTGTGTGGTTACACACCACATACCACAGACGGATCCTGGTATATGGTTTGATTGACAAAAAATATTGTGTTAGAAATTACCTTAATAATGCAATAGATGTGAAATATCTTGACAAATTTAAACCATTAAGCATATTCAAATTAAATTGAAAGACAGGTAAAGGACGTAAATGTTCGTAAGGTCAAACAATAGTAGAAAACTGGTTTCGCTATCTTAAAACGAAAATAATTATAATGTCGCTTTAATTACGTCCGTAGTTACAATAAATGTTGATATTACTACCAATAGGTAAAAAGATATAATTAAAAGATAGTTTAGATGCAGACATTATTTTTTAACTGAAATTACAAAAGAAACTATAGAGCACGTATTACTGGCCATTTGTGCCGCTACGCACGATGTAAAATAAAAATAATATACGTTGATAATCTTCGCGGGGGTAACGCACTTGTTCGGTTCAGTTCGCACCTCTCGCTCGCACGCGGGCATTCATGTTTTTTTGCTCCTACGCCAAGTCATCGCCTTACCACTTCTTTATTTTTAATGGCAACATAACTCGTGGCGGACTTGCGAACCTTTCACTAAATGACCGTCAAATAACGATTCATAGATAATACCACATATAAACGTTCATATAAAATTTAAGATTGAATCGATTAAAATCATTTCGCACGTTATTTTGAACTGTGCCAATTTTACCTACGAACATTGGCCAACATAGCTAATTGAACGTAGGATAAATATAAACGTATTATTTTCGTCTTTGCAACATCAATTTTCAGGTAAAAAATATTCAAACAATTGAAATTTTGAAACACGTGTACGTGTGTGATAGATAGGACAAAATAGTGTTATTTATTAGAACCTTTGATGTTAAAATGTGGTACTTAATACCAACTGAGATAAAATGATAATTATTTTCTATTTATGTATTTCGTGTGAAATAGTTTAGTTATACTTAATTTAACCTTCGTAGTGGTGATGTTTAGTACTGGCAGCTAAAATGTAAAAGAGGTATAAAAAGACCCTTCCGGTCAGAACACTCTCTCTTCCGTGGAGTCAGTGTAGCGAGTGGACTTTCGAGGAGCGGACCATGGGCCTGACCATGGAGAGTTAAGTAACCTATTTTATATTCACTGTAATACCTCTTAATAAATAACTGTAATAACCTTACCATTTGTACAAAGCTATTTTGTATATAAAAGCATATATGGGTTGTTGGACAAGTAATGTCAATCATGACAATTATGTGAATTGCATTTTATAATTTGTATTGGTTAATACTATTTATGAGATCTCTATAATATTGTGTTGTTTTACTAATTGAATTAATGAATATATGCTTTGTAAAGTTGCTTGTTGTTTCTATTCATATCCAGGTTTGCCTCACAAGGAAATGGTCAGCTGTCACTTTCATTTATTAACAGACGTCCATATTTAATATATTCCCATACAACTTCAAATGATTCTTGAAACTAAATTAGATGTTTGACTCTCTAAATTACTGTAGTTGTAGCATTTACTTATTGAATCTGAGTACGATTCTAACATGTGCATACATAACCTATTCAGTTTTATCCTTTATTTTATAGCTGCATTGTATTCAGTAGCGTCAGCAGCCGTATTGTAAAAAATTAAACCTAGTTTAAAAAATAGAAGAAACTCTGAGTTCTTTTAGTAAATGAACAACAAGCGACATAATACACAAAGTTATGTCGTAGGAAGTATAAGAATGTTAGTTTTGAACTCACGTAGTTTTTAGCTTTGACTTTTCTATCTTCTAATATGTCAAAATCCATTTTTCTACAGGTTATGAGAACATGTTACACATATCAATCACTAAACTTAGTAAGAAGTTTTTTTTAATTTTTTCTTATTTCAAGACGTACGTAGCAGCACGCGCGACTGCCGACACGAAACTGAGACCTGTCGGAGAGAAAGTGACCGTTTCCAGGCGATTACTTTCCAAGTGGCCGTGCGGTTTTAGTTCGTGCCGGCTCTGGAGTCTACCGTTACCCTCTTTTTCGCAACGAGGTCGTATTTTAAAGTTCACGTGGCGTCAACTATGCGCCATCTCGCGGTTATGTAAATAAATACATTATCATTTTATCGCTTGCTTCATGCTTAAGAGAGAACATATCTAAATTACGTAATATGTAATTAATTAGTAGCTAGTTGAATTTTAAATATAGGTTAAGGTATACAATGTCTAGATCCAATGTTTCTTACGATTCAAGGAAAAGAGGTAGAGCAATGAAACCGGTACTAAACGGTCATGGGTTTTCACAACTGAACATTTATACCAAACATGAAATCCTTGAAACAATAGTTTTTGTACGCATATTTCGGAAATTAAACGCAAGATTTATTGTTTCTGTTAAGGAAAATTTTGTTTGTATTTGTTTTTATCAAATAAGGTAAATCGCAAGTATGTTTTTTACAATAGTTTTACCAGAATATTAAAAAAAATACAATGTGATAAATCTGATGGTCATCTTCGTATAATAATTTTTCTTTATCCATGGCCATTTCCCGAATGGCCTTAAAGCGTGAGATATTTATTGTATTGTTCTTTTTAATTGGCATCTATTCTCGATTTTCCTCTTCCGTACTTTCCTTTTATATTTGTCGTTTGTCAGTTTTATTGTAACACTAGCTTTCGCCCGCGGCTTTTCCGCGTGAAATTAAAAAAGTTTTAGTAAGAAGTATGATTAAAAAACATTACCTGTACGTAGCGAAGATTTTGCATTCATCATCAACTTGCCCTTATCCCTTATGGAGGGTCGGCACAGTATGTACTGCTCTTCCATACATCTCTATCAGTCGTCATATCTGAATCCACTCCTTTCTTAAGCATATCCTCATTCACACAATCCATTTATA